TACCCAGGGTAGTACTACAAACCCTCTAATATCGTACAATGTACTACGTACCCAGGGTAGTGTGTACAAAACCTCTAATATCGTACAATGTACTACGTACCCAGGGTAGGATGTACAAAACCTTTAATATCGTACCCAGGGTAGTACTACAAATCCTCTAATATCGTACCCAGGGTAGTACTACAAACCCTCTAATATCGTACCCAGGGTAGTACTACAAACCCTCTAATATCGTACAATGTACTACGTACCCAGGGTAGGATGTACAAAACCTTTAATATCGTACCCAGGGTAGTACTACAAATCCTCTAATATCGTACAATGTACTACGTACCCAGGGAAGTATGTACAAAACCTTTAATATCGTACCCAGGGTAGTACTACAAACCCTCTAATATCGTACCCAGGGTAGTACTACAAATCCTCTAATATCGTACAATGTACTACGTACCCAGGGTAGTACTACAAAACCTCTAATATCGTACCCGGGGTAGTACTACAAAACCTCTAATATCGTACAATGTACTACGTACCCAGGGTAGGATGTACAAAACCTTTAATATCGTACCCAGGGTAGTACTACAAATCCTCTAATATCGTACCCAGGGTAGTACTACAAATCCTCTAATATCGTACAATGTACTACGTACCCAGGGTAGGATGTACAAAACCTTTAATATCGTACCCAGGGTAGTACTACAAACCCTCTAATATCGTACCCAGGGTAGTACTACAAATCCTCTAATATCGTACAATGTACTACGTACCCAGGGCAGTATGTACAAAACCTTTAATATCGTACCCAGGGTAGTACTACAAATCCTCTAATATCGTACCCAGGGTAGTACTACAAAACCTCTAATATTGTACAATGTACGACGTACCCAGGGTAGTACGTACAAAACCTCTAATATCGTACCCAGTGTAGTATGTACAAAACCTCTAATATCGTACCCAGGGTAGTACGTACAAAACCTCTAATATCGTACAATGTACGTACCCAGGGTAGTATGTACAAAACCTCTAATATTGTACCCAGGGTAGTACGTACAAAACCTCTAATATTGTACCCAGGGTAGTATGTACAAAACCTCTAATATCGTACAATGTACATACCCAGGGTAGTACTACAAAACCTCTAATATTGTACAATGTACGACGTACCCAGGGTAGTACGTACAAAACCTCTAATATCGTACCCAGTGTAGTATGTACAAAACCTCTAATATCGTACCCAGGATAGTATGTACAAAACCTCTTATATCGTACACAGGGTAGTATGTACAAAACCTCTAATATTGTACCCAGGGGAGTACGTACAAAACCTCTAATATTGTACCCAGGGGAGTACGTACAAAACCTCTAATATTGTACCCAGGGTAGTATGTAGAAAACCTCTAATATTGTACCCAGGGTAGTACTACAAAACCTCTAATATTGTACAATGTACTACGTACCCAGGGTAGTATGTACAAAACCTCTAATATCGTACTCAGGGTAGTACTACAAAACCTCTAATATCGTACCTAGGGTAGTACTACAAAACCTCTAATATCGTACCTAGGGTAGTACTACAAAACCTCTAATATCGTACCCAGGGTAGTACTACAAAACCTCTAATATCGTACAATGTACATACCCAGGGGAGTACTACAAAACCTCTAATATTGTACAATGTACGACGAACCCAGGGAAGTACGTACAAAACCTCTAATATTGTACCCAGGGTAGTACGGACAAAACCTCTAATATTGTACCCAGGGTAGTACGGACAAAACCTCTAATATTGTACCCAGGGTAGTATGTAGAAAACCTCTAATATTGTACCCAGGGTAGTATGTACAAAACCTCTAATATTGTACCCAGGGTAGTACGTACAAAACCTCTAATATTGTACCCAGGGTAGTACTACAAAACCTCTAATATTGTACAATGTACGACATACCCAGGGTACAAGTTTATATAATCAGTTTTGATAATAATTAACATTTTCTGAACAATTTACTTGTCTGAACTTTGAATAATTTATTTATTAAAATATATGGACTTTTCAAATATTCTCACCTATTAAGGAGACATCCTGTTACCTTTAATTACCTACTTTGATATAAGTTACCAGCGAACAGTGAAGCTTTGATGTATGTTAATCAAAGGCATTGAAACATATCAACCCTTTTATAGTGTTGAAATATTCCACTCCTCCAAAGCATTGACATTTCAAACCCTTGTAAAGATAACGTTTTGTTTACCAATAAACATTAAAATATCCACCCTGTAAGATATTTATATGTCTACCCTTATAAAGCTTTTAGACTCCAGCTTTGGGATCTCCAGCCTCAAGTCTTAATTGTGCAGCATGGAAGTACTTCAAAGGCTTATTGAAATCTGTATTTCTGTATATATTCTAAATGATTCACTTTAAATGGATCCAGACTGAACAACTTTATTTAGAAAAAGTATGTGTTTTCAACTATCATAATTTCTGCTGTATACTGCGTGCTACTATTTTCTATTTTAATTGGTTTTTGGAAAGTTTATTACAATGCCAATTGTAATTTGAATTTTATTTACTTAAACTGTAAACCAATGATGGCAGGACTTAGGGGTGAATTGATGCCACTATACACTAGGTAGATAAATGTGTTTGCCGATCCCTCAAACTGTGTCAACCTTTGACTAATCTGTCACGATCAAGGTATCGCAATCATTTTGTAATTGATACGATGAGTTGAGTAACATGTTGATCTTTTTATTCCTACAGTCTACTTACAAATTGAATCATTTTTAAATTCTGCTCACTTTAACACTACTTGTGAATTGTCAAGTGTATTCTGTGATTGTGTTTTTGAGTGCTGCTGCCTAGTTATTATATATCATGGCGTGGCTAGATCAGTGGACTAATGATCACATGACTCACAGCTGACAGACAGAATCATGTATTTCCATCAAGACTCTGTACAGAAATGCTACCAATATGATTGCTGATGTCAAATAAAGACCTTTAACAATGTCAAACCAAAACTTTATATTCCTGTTAAAATTTTCCAATTGTTAATTATTTTTTTCAGTTTTGTTGATGGTCTGACTTGTCAGAGGTAATCTGACAGGCTAGCTAGGGAGGTGGCCTCTTGTGACAATTAAATACCCTGTTGATGCTCTTACTAGAGATATGCCTTTGAATTGTCAGACAACAGAGGTGGCCTCTTATGACAGTTAAATGCCAGTTGGTTATAGAGATAGGCCTTTTACTTGACAGACTACAGAGGTGGCCTCTTATGACAATTAAATGCTCTGTTAATGGTCTTACTAGAGATATGCCTTTTACTTGAAAGACTACAGAGGTGGCCTCTTATGACAATTAAATTCCCTGTTAATGGTCTTACTAGAGATAGGCCTTTTACTTGACAGACTACAGAGGTGGCCTCTTATGACAATTAAATTCCCTGTTAATGGTCTTACTAGAGATAGGCCTTTTACTTGACAGACTACAGAGGTGGCCTCCTATGACAATTAAATGCCCTGTTAATGGTCTTACTAGAGATAGGCCTTTTACTTGACAGACTACAGAGGTGGCCTCCTATGACAATTAAATGCCCTGTTAATGGTCTTACTAGAGATATGCCTTTTACTTGATAGACTACAGAGGTGGCCTCTTATGACAATTAAATGCCCTGTTAATGGTCTTACTAGAGATATGTCTTTTAACTTATTCACCCCTGAAGACACATTTGAACTCTTCCAATTCAAGGGTTGGAATAGTTCCTCATGAAATTTCAGGGGTGGATGAGGTAATTGTCAGACTATAGAGGTGGCCTCTAGTGTCAGTGAGATATTTTATGTGGTCTAGCTAAAACAGACAAAAAATTAATATAACAATATAACAATTGACATAGTGGTTTTACAGGAGAGATTATCTCATTTAATTGGTGACTTCAGATTTTTGTATCATAGAGAGGATCAATGTTACTGCCTTTAAACAAAATGAACCTTACCCATATGATAATTGTAAAAGTTGTGATGTCCTAGACATGACCTAATACTCTGTGTCTGTGATAAACTGAGGTGCAGTCAGCTCAGCTAGCGTGCCCGTAGATGTATTTCTTGGAAACAAAAGTGCACGAGTACAAATGTTTACACTTAGCTCAGATGGGGTTTGTAAAAGTTCATATTCCAGGTAATGATCTGTATCTTCATTCAGCTGTTTTATATTTCCCATTGTAGCAAACTATTTCTCCATTAAGTACAGGTAGGGGGTATAAACATAAGCAATTAATGCGTATATCATGTTCTTGCCTGTACAACAGTGTGACTTTTTAGATTGGGATAAAATTCTCTAGACGGACATCAAGTGATATTGGTCGCTATATCTGTGTACCCGTGTTACATACTTGGTAAACAGTGTGAGGAATTGATCTTGACAACATGTTAAACAGAAAAAAATAAAAATCTACTTAGGATATATATAGTTATACAAATCAAAGGGTGGCTAATCAGCAGCACTTCGCCTACAGGGGAGACCAGAGGCTACACATTGGCCCGCATAGTATAAATCTCTAATTATTCCAGGTATGTAATGAACCAGAGTTTTACAGTACATGTAATAAAGGATAAACAGATTTAATTACTATCCATTTTTGTAACAAAATGATATATAAGGCCATTTCTCACATGAAGCTTAAACTTTGATTATCTTTTTCAAGCAAATATTAACTGAATTATACCATGTAAAAAAAAACTTCAGATCCTGGTCACAGCTTATGGATTTTGTTCATAAAACCCCAGATAAATACATATTATAGTACAAGTTGATCACCCCCTCATTTAAATCAATCTCCAGTATTTTATTACAATGATTAAGTGATCATACCAGGGACAGAAATAGAATACAGAATATCAAATGTCAAAAAACCCTAATTGCATAATTGATTGAGAAGTGTATACTGTGATTTGTTACCTGGGCTTTCACATGTAAATACTGGTAGGTATATAGATGTATAGTTATTGATGTGTCGTCTGTACAGATATGTGTGATAGTGTGAGAACTCTGGTTCAATACTCCTGGCTACTGGTAACAAGTTGGGATCGGTGCCCATTGATTGGTGTGTGTTGTTCTAAACGCTTCAAATGTATGTGTAAGTAGTCGACAAGTGCTTGTTTTATGGCAGTGAGCGGATATCACTGAACGGGACCTCGATATTTGAGGTGTAACTCTGGACATAACTACTGGTAGCTAGTCGAGTGGATTATGTTAATATGTCATTAAACGACCAACCATTTCAACTCTACCTTTCGTCGGTACAACATTGGAGCTTTAATCTATATTAAAATTATACCTCTATTGTTGTTTAGTGGAGCTTAAGTTAAGATTTCTATACTAACACCAAACATTAGAGGCACTATGAACATGTAAGTCAGCGGTAAGTTCTATAATTCTGTTGGGAGCAGAATTTTTTGTTCTCCCAGGAAAGAAAAGGAATATTTAAGAAGTGTGTTGAGTTAACGAAAGCATTTTGTTCTTGACTTAGAGTTTTGGGAACACACTGTGTCTGATTCTGTTGAGTGTGGCACATTTTAAGTTGGACAAACCTTTATCAGACTGCTGTTGTTGGAATGGACACTAAATTAAATGTCGAGAAGGTTGAATTCTTCATTCTGAGAGGATAAGTATCAGCTGATTGGCTGATGCCACTACGCCACCCAACATTGGCCAAGATGCCTCTGATGCCACATTTCCCTGTCAGCAAGTCACTGAACCACAAACATGGGCATGGCGGATTGTCACCCGAAAACAAAAATGGACGCATTAGATTGTCACCTGTCAACAAACATGGACGCAGCGGAAATTCACCTGAAAATAAGCATAAAGCTATTAAGTTTGAGAAGAATGATGATCTGGAATATAAACTACCATTCCTACCTAAAGCAGTTAAAAAAGACAGGAAACCTTTGTCAGAAAGGAACGCTTGTACTTACAACTCTATGCCCAAGGGAGGGTCAGGTAGGCATTGTTGATTTTTTTGTGGAACGGAACATTACATCCATTTGTAAGATAAACATATGCTATACATTTTTATTATACTTCTGCAAGGATGTTCTATATATGAGGCTCATAAAATATAATGTCTATCATGTCTCACCGAAAAAAGTCCAAACTGTCCATCCTGTGGTGGACAGTGTTTTTTTCTATCACACCCTCATGTTGTATTTTTCAGAATTGTTTTCAAATGTAATGTCTATCTCCTGGTCTTATGACTATTAGTATGAACTTTGCCCAAGAAATAGTTCCTGCCTTTGCTGCTGACAAGAGTATTATCACCCTCGCGGGCTGACTGAAGTGCTATCACCCTCCCGGGCTGACTGAAGTGCTATCACCCTCCCGGGCTGACTGAAATGCTATCACCCTTCGGGGCTGACTGAAGTGCTATCACCCTCCGGGGCTGACTGAAGTGCTATCACCCTCCGGGGCTGACAAAGTACTTTCACACTCACTCACAAGTGCTAACAAAAATACTATCACTCTCGGGGACTGACAAAAGTATCACACCTCAGGGGCTGACAGAAGTACTTTCACTCTAAGGGGCTGACAGAAATAGTTTCACCCTAAGGAGCTGACAGAAGTTCTTTCACCCTAAGGGACTGACAGAAGTACTTTCACCCTAAGGGGCTGACAGAAGTACTTTCACCCTAAGGGGCTGACAGAAGTACTTTCACCCTAAGGGACTGACAGAAGTACTTTCACCCTAAGGGACTGACAGAAATAGTTTCACCCTAAGGGGTTGATAGAAGTAAATTATCACCCTAAGGAGCTGACAAAAGTACTTTCACACTCAGGGGCTGACAGAAATAGTTTCACCCTAAGGGGTTGATAGAAGTAAATTATCACACTAAGGGGCTGACAGAAGTACTTTCACACTCAGGGGCTGACAGAAATAGTTTCACCCTCAAGGGCTGACAGAAGTACTGTCACACTGGGGGAGGGTAAGTTTTTAGAACATACCAGTTGCAAGTTTGAAATTTGCGCAACTATGTTAAACTACACATCAGTCAAAACTTCTGTACTTAACAGAGTGGCAATGAATTTGTGAAGTGTATGATATGGCATTATTTTAGGTGTGAATGTACTAAAAATTAAACTTCCCTGACCATAGCAATAGTGCTAAAGAGTATACATTTTATGTTGATGATTACCGGTATTTGATATATCCTGATCTGTAATTGACCAGTAGACATTTACGTGCCAGTGTAAAACTTTGTATTTGGGTTAATGCCAATATGTTACAGTAATTAATGAGGTGTTATTGTTTTTGTGACATCAAAATTCTCATATTTTAATGCTTTGTTTTACATTTTAGGCCTATAAAGGCAGGGTTCAATAGAAAAAATATATAAATACATTCTTTAGGATTTCCCACCTGACAAATTTCTGACATATCAGTATGTATATTGTTCCTGTGATTAATGATTTTCATTACTGTAATCTTCACCATATTTATAAATCTGGCACTTTTTGTAATTTCACAAATATTGAACATAAATTAATGATATTCACAGGGGCATGGCACAGATCCCCACCCCATAGTTTGTTTATGTATTTCATGTATCTACAATACACAGGCTGTTGGGTTGAGATCTATAATGGCACGCACGCACCTGTGATGATATCACTGTATAAAATGCTTGTAATCCTTTTCTGGAGAGGTTATATAGACTATACAAACCAATAAGCTACGATTTCCTTATCAGACTCAGCGATGACACTCAACTATAGATTTACATGTAAAACAGGATGTTAGGTTAGGTGAAGTCGGTCTACTGGGAGATTAAGTGATCTTCAGACATACAGCTGCCTCCGTTTCCAATCTGTGGAGTGCTGTTTGTCGTAGAAATGACACGTACTGTCCAGAAATTCAAATACTACATAAAGAACTTGTCTGTGGTTTCAGTCTTGTGATTTAAACTTTATGTTTTTACAAAAATTATGAATTAGCAACTTATATTAATCCATGCCATGTTGTTTGGTATAGGACCCCATACCTTTTCACATCCAATCGGGGAAATCAAATCCTATAGGTTCTCATGGTGAAATGCAAATGCCCTGCTACTCTAACAAACCGCCCTAACTACAGTGACATTTAAAGGTTACTGGGGAAATCACTGGTAAAATATTTTTGTAGCATGGGTAACAGAAATTAATGTTCAATCATAGCCAAAATATTGTGCAAATCAGTGTACTGTTGACTGAGCATGACTCTCTGTTCTCTGAGGTCATGATCTAAATCTATGTTCACTGTCTTCTCTGAGGCCATGGTCTAAATCTTATGTTTACTGTCTTCTCCGAGGTCATGATCTAAATCTCATGTTCACTGTCTTCTCCAAGCCACGATCAAAATATTATGTTCACTGTCTTCTTTTAGGCCACAATCTAAATCTTATGTTCACTGTCTTCTCCGAGGTCATGATCTAAATCTCATGTTCACTGTCTTCTCCAAGCCACGATCAAAATATTATGTTCACTGTCTTCTTTTAGGCCACAATCTAAATCTCATGTTCACTGTCTTCTCCAAGTCACGATCAAAATCTTATGTTCACTGTCTTCTCCAAGCCACAATCAAAATCTTATGTTCACTGTCTTCTCTAAGCCACGATCAAAATCTGATGTTCTCTGTCTTCTCAGAGGCCATGGTCTAAATCTTATGTTCACTGTCTTCTCTGAGGCCACAATCTAAATCTTATGTTCACTGTCTTCTCTGAGGCCATGGCCTAAATCTCATTTTCACTGTCTTTTTTTCCTTTAGGCCATGGTCTAAATCTTATGTTCACTGTCTTCTCTGAGGCCACAATCTAAATCTTATGTTCACTGTCTTCTCTGAGGCCACAATCTAATTCTCATTTTCACTGTCTTTTTTTCCTTGAGGCCATGGTCTAAATCTTCTGTTCACTGTCTTCTCTGAGGCCATGGTCGAAATCTTATGTTCACTGTCTTCTCTGAGGCCACAATCTAAATCTTATGTTCACTGTCTTCTCTGAGGCCACAATCGAAATCTCATTTTCACGGTCTACTCTGAGGCCATGGTCGAAATCTTATGTTCACTGTCTCACCTCAAGGACTATATCGTTATCAATTGGAAGGTCAAAGCCAGGTTTTTAAGGGACACTAATGAAAGATATTTAAAACAAATGTATTTATTTATATAAAATCTCAGGTCTGTCAGTTATGCATTTGAAGTATGATAGTAAACCGAGTGGAACTACGGCTTGGAACCATGCTTAGGTTATACATCATGTGTTAGCTGACTCATTCATTGCCAGGCTTTATGAAGCATTTAGAAAATAGTCTAGCTGGATTTTATACTTGTGAAGAATTTGGAGCAAATATAGAAACTGAGCGAGATTTAAGTAAGATATCTGATCTATACTCTAGCTACTTTGAATGTAATTCAGTTGAGGTTTCAGTAAGATATTCACTGCTACTATTATAATTGACTGGAGATTTGAGGAATACTTTTCACAGTTGTCGTGAATTCAGTAGAGATTAATTCACTTTTGTCGTGAATTCAGTGGAGATTTCACTAAGGATTTCACTGTTGTTTGTCCTTTGTTGTGTACTGAGGCACAATGTATGGAGCAATCTATAACACATTGACCCGGAGTTACCAGGCTAGATTACATCACAATAACACTTCCATTTGACAAGCTGTTTTACACCAGTTCTTGTAAGTTTATGCGGATTTCAGAATCAATGTTAATTTCTCTGTCGTTAATGCTGGACTGCTTCAGGTCCTAGCAAGCTAATCAATATTTAGAATTGGGGTATATGTGCTGCAGCATATTGTAATGAAAAACAAGTTCTCAATAAATCTCACGAACTTAAATTTAATCAATACAAAAATTACTGTGTAGTTTATCAATGTCTGTATGTTATTTACATCAGAAAGGGGAGCATGATCGAGTGTGTATACATGTAAAGATAATGAAAGGTGGCATCTGCGAGTCTACATTTATATAAATAATGACGGGTAGCACGGCGAGTCTTCATATATATATAAATAATGACGGGTAGCACGGCGAGTCTACATATATATAAATAATGTAGTGTGGTCTCAGAGAAACTTCATATATATGAATAATGAAGGGTGGCATCGGCGAGTCTACAATATATAAATAATGACGGGTAGCACGGCGAGTCTACATATATATAAATAATGACGGGTAGCACGGCGAGTCTACATATATATGAATAATGAAGGTGGCCTCAATGGGTCTTACTTAAGCATTAAACTGCCTTCTTTGGAAAGTTCTTGTCCTATAATTCTCACAGAATTGCAGAAAAATTGAATAACGCAAGTCAGCGTTTTATGATTAATTTGTCTGCTATCGTGTGAGAATTATAGGACAATAACTTTCCATGAAGGTTGGCCTCAATAAGTCTACATATATATAAATAATGAAGGGTGGCATCAGCGAGTCTACACAAATAATGAAGGGTGGCATCAGCAAGTCTACACAAATAATGAAGGGTGGCATCAGCCAGTCTACATATGGATTGAACGGCGTTTTTTAAATTGTTATGCCCGTGTGAATGCAAATCGTTTTGATACGGATGTAACCGATTCGGGTCCATGCCAGCATGAACATTTTAACAGTTGTTGAGTTTTATTTCTTTGTTCTTGAATAATTAATTCATTTACTGTGTTTTGTATATGCGTCGTCCTTTAAACGGCATTAACAGAACAGCCCTGTTTAAATAAAATTGGTGCCAATAATTAACTGTAGTCATTTGAACGTTTGACGCAGGGATATTTCTCCATGTTATCCGAAAGCGATGCGACAAGACTCTCATTGAGCAAGGTATATATATGACGTCATAAGTAAACCACGTGTTATGTCACAAGAGTTTTTGCTTTCATACTCGAATGGTATGCATTTTTGCTGATAATGTTCATATGGTGTGTTGCAGCGCAAATGTAAATATAAATATATAAATAATGAAGGATGACCTCTGGGAGTCTACATCTATATAAATAATGACGGGTGGCCTCAGTGAATCCATACATTGTTATATAAGGATTTGCAAGTCAAATTATGTTAAGCATTGATTTCCACTATTATCTAATGTTTATTGTTTCTATTTCCAGGTCTAGGAGTGTACACATATGAAAACAAATACTTTAGATATGAAGGACAATGGAGAAATGGTAAAAAACATGGTAAGTACCACTTCATTAATTTTGTACTTAATTTTATATTGTTTCGAAGATACTTGTATCTATTATGGCCTCATTCATTTAGTTCTTTTCCAGAATTTGATTAAATTGGCATATAGATGTTATGCATGCATGGAACATGTTTTTAAACACAAGTGTGAAATATATCTGATGTGAGACCAGTGTGAAGGTCCCCTATGTTAATGCTTGGTTGAATACATTTGTACTTGTGATTACATATATATCTGAAGAACTGTGGTTGGGAAACCTAATGTACCACTATTTTATAGTGTAAACTCAAATGAGATATTATATCAGTGTGTTTAATACATTATAATGAACGGTAATTTGTCCAACCACGTTTTTAATGAATCTAGTAGCAATCAACTAAAAAGGTGAATTATTCCACTAAAGCATAAACTGAAAAGGCTAAAAATACAGGTACCACAGTACATTTGGAGATTGTTTAAATGGGTTTTAAAGTTAATCTACCAGCTATAGCAACCATGCTGGGAAAAAGAAGTTATTTGACCACTTTCTGGACAATATTTAAAACTGCTGTATACAAACTGTTGTATGTAAGCTTACAGACAGGGCTAGAAATGTTGCTCAGTTCTATACTATACAAACATGTGTGTTCATTAAACTTAATAAAGTCCAGATTGTTGATCAGCTCCTGGTAGATATATATATAATTTGACGAATATATTCCCAAGGTAAGGACAGATTATTTCTAACCTGTAAGATACCAATAACAGGGTTAGCACCAACTTTCTGAGGAATGGTTACATTATAAATTAGAATTAAATGTGTCTGACAATGTGTTAATTATATAATATGTTACAGTTATAAGTGGTGATCTCAAAATAGAATTTTTAATACCATTAAAGCAAATTATTACAGGTCAACTGTTTTTTTCAATGTGTTCACTGTATGCCTTATTTATTGTAATCTACTGACACAGTGTTGTCCTGGGCGTCTCTCAGCTTTAAGTCGGACTTAAAATCGGTACATGTGCTGGCTAGGGCTTAAACTACCACTGGAACAGTGTGTGCACCTACAAGCTTGGAGAATTTGGCGAAATCTGGCTGTTAATTACAATAGTATAACCGTGAACAAAGTCACTTTTGTTCTACAGATTTTTCATTGGAAAATATCACCTTTTGTTTTCAATTTTAAAATCAGGTCTAGAACATTTTAACAGTATTTAAATCAGCTGTACCATTCAAATGTAAGAAGGTGTCAGACTCCGGACAGAGCCTTAAAAGAACTATGTGAATATGAAGCACTAGGGCCTTTGTTGCATTATTAGTTGAAGCCAATATCAAATTAATGATCTTGTGATGTCTGTGTGGAGAGAAACATAATATTTATAAAAGGGAGAAAGGTATGGATATAATAATAAATGGGTGATAGCTTATAGGTATATATATATACAGTAATACATGTGTCATAATTATTTAGAGGTAATTAGGTACAAATATGATAAATATAGGTGATAGGTACAAATGTTGAGGTTATATATAGAGGTGATAGGTACAAATATAATAACACAGGGTAATAGGTATAAGTATCGTAGTAATAATTTTAATACGGTGATAGGCACAAATACTGTAATTATCACCTGGTATTTAAGTAATATATAGGTTATCCTTGAGACACAGTACATTGACCCTATTTAAAACTTCCTTTGATGATATAGGTATGTAGATACAGAGTACTGATATATAATTAATACAAGTTCAAGGTAACTGTAATCGTTCCTGTGAAGTGTAGAGGATAGCATGAATTCTGAGTTAACATGAGTAAAGGATTTTATAACACAATATCTGTCAAACAGATGATAGTATCAATGTCTATCACCAAAGTCATTTGTGACACCTAAAAGTCGGGTGTCACTATTTTTTCAAAATTTCATTACCCAGTATTCAATTTGTTCCTAATTGACACCCCCATGTTAGTGAACATTTAAAGCTTATTGTACAGAGATAAAAGTGGCTGTAACACTATCTATTGCTGTCTATCTTAAGCAGATCGTGATACTCAACACAGCTCAGATTTCCTTCCAATGGCAGAGTTTTAACCCTCGGGTAGAATTATCGTAAAAATCAGACAGATATGTTTATCTGGAGATACCGTTATAGTGTCTATATATGTCCACAGTAAATTATAATTAGATTGGTTGAATATCTTATTAAGATTGTTTCATGTGTAATTATTTCTATTGGGTAAGTAATGTATGATATACTCATTCTTCAAGAACTTACCTGCTTATTATCATAACCAGATTTTTCTACAGAGACATTTTACAAATCAATCCAATAACATGCTTAAATCTATGTATTAACCTATATATGTAAATTAACAATTTTTGAAAACAACAGAAAAAAATTAAGTTTGCCAAAAGATTGTCACCATTTGGAGATCTGAAGAAATATGAGGCTTATCAGAAAATACTATATAATTGATAATTTACAGAAACTCTTTAAACTGTGAAGGTTCGACTAGTGTTTTAATGTCATTGAGATTCGACAGAGGTAATGAGGTGTCATTGAGTATTACTGTACCCACTGGTGACGTCAGTGATTGTACTCCGGTAAAGATGTCATCATTAACTCTACTGCTATTGTATTAAACATCAGAGCATTAAACACGTGTAATGGGGTATACTGTTTGATCAGACATCATGTTCTAGTTTAATGAATGTGTTGTATTCAGCACATTTTCGGTTAGTGTAATGTTCTCCACATTGAAATCTAGCCAAAACAAGGACAGAGTCCTGTGAAGATCTTTGTATTTTATTCTGATATCTATTGTCGGTGTGTATATCTTATGATGACTATTCTGTTATACTTACCTAACACTAGAATTATCTTCTGTGAAGCATTAAGAATTAATATTATCAATTGTAAAAAACGGTCAAATTTAATTTATTGCATTGCTGTAAATTGGTAATCAGAAACATTTACCACAGCATTAGTCTCATAGCCTACTGTAGAAATTTGTAGGAGTACACACACACACACACACAAACACACACACACACAAACACACACACACTGTTTTGCAATATAATTTACAGCTTCACTTCATTTCTTATTGTTTTAACTTAAAGCTATGGAATCTTAAACTAGTTTCTATTAATTTCATATCCTTTTTCTTGATAAGAAAACCTTTCCCTGAACATTGATGATGATATTAACAAGGACATGATATAATTTGTATGCTTTTTGTTTATTGCATATTATCATCGTGTAAGTATTAATATAAGCATCTTGAGTAGCAAATGTGACAGTTATCACTTCTGAAGAATGTAAAAGAATAAGCTCTATTCTCATTTGGAGTTGTTATTTAAACTTTTGATGAAATGAAAATGTTTTGACGGGCTACATTTGATCATTATGTTATGCCTTATAAACACAATTCCATAAGCGTTTATGGCACAGTTTAATAGAAATTAGCTTTAGGAGATGCAACCAATACAAAAATAGCACAAGGGGAGATAACTATTAGGGGACATGACCACTAGGGTGGGGAAACCACTAGGGGGAGATACCCTAGGGGGAGATAATAACTAGGGGAGATAAATATAACCACAAGGGGGAGAGAACCACTAGGCAGAGGTTACTACTAGGGGGAGATAACCAGTAAACAACTCGGGGGAGACAATCACTAGAGGAAATAACCACCAGGGGGAGGTAGCCACTAGGAGGAGAAAACCAATAGAGGAGATAACCACCAGGGGGAGGAAGCCACTAGGGGGAGACAATCACTAGAGGAGATAACCACCAGGGGGAGGTAGCCACTAGGGGGAGATAAAAACTAGGAAAACATTATAAAGCACGTACAGAAACATTTACATAATTAAAACTAAAGAAAACTTAAGCATGAGGAGGGATATTTATATAATCAGAGGTCATTAACAGTACAAAGGCAATAGCATCACGGGACATTAGCACCAAGGGGGACAATAGTACTAGAGGGACATTAGCACTAAGGGGCACAATAGTACTAGAAGGACATTAGCACCAAGGGGGACAATAATGCTAGAGGGACATTTGCACTAAGGGGCACAGTAGTACTAGAGGGACATTAGCACCAAAGGGGACAATAGTACTAGAGGGACATAAGCACCAAGGGGGACATTACCATTAGGAGATTATTAGCACTAGTGGACATTAGACATTAGCACCAGGAAGACATTCACGTTTCATTTTCCTAGGCGAAAAGGTGCCCCTGGACTTAAAATGTAACTCTTTTGTATTGAATATTTACTGTCACTTTTGTGATATCACTTATATGTTTGTTTTTCACTTTTTACAGGTCATGGAAAACTGCAAATGCAAGATGGGAGTTATTATGAAGGAACTTTTAATGATGGTGAAATTAACGGTCATGGTTTTCGCTACTTTTCTACAACTGGGTGTAAATACACAGGACAATTCCATAAAGGAGAACTCCATGGCACTGGTAAAATGATATATACAGATGGATCTATATATGATGGACAGTGGTACCGCAATCGCAAACATGGTAGGTAACGTCTCGTAGATCACTTCAGGAGATAATGTTTAATGGTGTTTTGTTTTAATGATAACACAATTTGATTCATACAACCAGACACAAAAATTAAAAGCTAAGTCATTACCATTCTTGGAAAAATATGAATAAAAATGGTTCTCTCATTTCAATGTTATAACCCTTGACATTTATGTAATGGTACAAAACGCTTGAGATTTGGTTAACTTTAGAATTGTCAAGTTAGTATGGAGATTAGGTTAACTTTAGGATGTGAAGTTAGTATAAAGCTTTGGTTAACTTTAGGATGTCAAGTTATAGTAGTGAGCTTTGTTATATTAAGGTTGCCACTTGTAAGTGGAACTTAAGTTAACCTGAAATGTTCAGGTTGGTTTAAGGTGTTACACTTGTATACATATTGCACACCAACCCATATCTCTCTCAATTACTTTTCTACTTGTTTATTTTGAGCATAATCTGTGAAGAAAGTAATGTTTAGGTGAAGTCGATAACTTCTCAAACCATATATAACTGTCATGGGGAAAACGCTTGAAAAGTCATGTAAATGTTTATTCACGGTTATTGAGTTCGGAGGTGATATAAGAAATAGTTAAGTGTGGTATATTTCAATATTTGTGTATAATTGTCACACGTTTACAGGCCACCGACTGTGTAGGGATTTAATCTCACAATACCCCACTGTGTAATATCTGACAACTCCAGGTACCTCAGCAATACTGGAGCTGGTTACTGATATTACAGATTAATTTTCTTTGATTGTTTGATAAATTTTATCTTTCCGTCAATCGAACCTTTGACCTTTCAAGATTTTCTGAATGACTTAAGTAAAATCTTTAAAATAAACAATTATTTTGTACCTCCTTCTAACATTTCATGTTAATTTCATTGTCATTGAGATCTTTTAATGCATGAAATTTAAACTGAAGTCTTAGATGAAAAGATAATTCTGATCAAGTCGGATAACGCCATGGGGAGCAGACTTTTAACATGTTTTTGTTGCTTTAAGCTGATGGAAGCTTGTTGAAAAACGTTTTGTTTCCGTAATAAAAAAATAATTTGCACACAGTATCTAATAGAAATCCAATATACTGTGGGTCACTCTAATTGAAATCTTGGGAAAATGTCAGTTTTTACTCAGATATGCAATGTAGGCTTGGTGATACCACTTGTAGGCTTGTTTATATGCCCAGTATGTTTTTGATGAAATCAGTATTCTTGTTTATACATGTATGCAACCAGTATGCTTACTGATGCAATCAGTATGCCCAGTGGACTTGTTTATAAGACCAGTGTGCTTAGTGAGCTTTGTAATAAGCCCAGTGTGTATGTATGTACAAGATCAGTATGCCCAGTGGACTTGTTGATAAGACCAGTATGCTTAGTGAGCTTTGTAATAAGCCCAGTGTGTATGTATGTACAAGATCAGTCTGCCCAGTGGACTTGTTGATAAGACCAGTGTGCTTAGTGAGCTTTGTAATAAGCCCAGTGTGTATGTATGTATAAGATCAGTATGCCCAGTGGACTTGTTGATAAGACCAGTATGCTTAGTGAGCTTTGTAATAAGCCTAGTGTGTATGTATGTATAAGATCAGTATGCCCAGTGGACTTGTTGATAAGACCAGTATGCTTAGTGAGCTTTGTAATAAGCCCAGTGTGTATGTATGTACAAGATCAGTATGCCCAGTGGACTTGTTGATAAGCCCAGTATGCTTAGTGAGCTTTGTATGCATGGGCTGTAACTGATATGACAAACTGAGAATCATCAGCAAACTGTCCAAACCGTTGTTTCCAACACCTCTTTTATTATAAAGATATTCAAACTGTTAATCTTTTGTTATTAAGCCAACACCTTAATTACTTTTAATTGGCTGATGGGGTGTTCTCTATTACCCTACTTTTTGGAGAACTTGTGATGTCAACTTCAACAATAAGCCAAATGTTTGTTGATAAGCCCATGCTTAATGATAAATCTGTGCTCTTTGATAAGCCCATGCTTGCTGATAAGCCCATGCTTTCTGATAAACTTATGCTTAATGATAAATCTGTGCTCTTTGATAAAGCCTAAGCTCGTTGATTAGTCCATGATTGATGGTAAGGTATTTTGGTTAACATTTTGTTATTAAATGGACACAATATGTTTTAATTGTTGATATTGTTTGCCATTGTTTCCAGGCTATGGTGTGATGAGATCGTCAGACAGTGCTGTCTACGAGGGGGCTTATCAGTCTAACCTACGGCATGGTGAAGGTCTCATGTTATACTCGTAAGTCTGTCACAGAAAGCTGGACTTTATTTGATTTGAATTCATGATATATAACACGCCTTTCAACAAATCATTGCAAGATTTTAGAGTGTAATTAACAGTTTTTAGACAGAGTTTATTTGTAGGTGTATTTTTCTAAATACTTTTAGAATATGTGTTGTAATTTGTTTCTTCAACTAACAGTTTAATAGTGAGTGTCTAATTAGTCTTTACATATATACCGGTAATTGTTTACATAGTATATTAGGTAAATCAATCTATATACTTAATTAAAGGTCAACAAACTTGACATATACTAAGACTGTGTTTCAAGTATGCATTTGTGAAGTTTTCTTCTTGCTATAAATTTGATAAAAACAGAAGAAATCATCCATTATAGCCATTACACTTCGAGGATTTTATACTTTCTCTCAAGTTTTTTTAAGCTGGCTTTCATGTTGGGGTAAATGTCTGTATGAAATATACAGCTTAAAATAGTGAAATACATGTACCAAGGAGATGGTGATTAGTATGCTAGATCAGACAGCTACCACCCTCCACCAGCCCTTCCCCCTCCAACACCTCCTAGACACCTCTGTGCACTTTCCCATCCTTACACTAGCTGTGCACATTGACTCCCATTTAAAATACATTTGTGGAAATGTATACAGAAGTTTTCTTGCACCTTTTGGGCTATGTAATATGATAACAATTTTTCTCCCCGTCATAGTTGTTATTTACAAACAAAGAGATGGTTGTTGTAGTCCCCATGTAATATGATAACATGTAATTAGGTTAGTGTATTTCCTACTGTAGAATCATTTATTTTCGTAGGGTTAAAATTTCGTGGTTTTCATATACTAACCAGTTTCAAGGACATTAAATTTTGCTGATTTCTGATTTTCCCCTATCTATATCATACCAAATTTATGTATTCATGGGGACTTGATTTCGTGGATATTTGTTATCCATGAAATAAACGAAATTTAATGTCCCACGAAAATTTATGATTAAACAGTATCATTGCGAACCCCAACCCAATCTGGTATGTCACAGAACTGTATAAGATTGACAAGGCTTCTGACCTCCAGTAAGACATTCACTGGCAATCTGTAAGCCATTACTGGCTAACTCATAATCTTTGGTAACTGTAATCTTGCTTAAATAAGTTAATCCCTTTTTAGCTCACCTGCCCGAAGGGAAAAGTGAGCTTATGTCATGGTGCGGCATCCGTCGTCCGTCAACTTTTTCTTTAAACAACTTCTTATGAAGAACGAACAGGCATAAAGCCATGATATTTGACTGAAAGCTTTGTTGGTAGTAGCCTGACAAAGTTTGAGAACAAAAATGACCTTGACTTACTTTCAAGGTCACAGGGGTCAAATGTATCAAACACTTCAAACGACTTCTTCTGAAGAACTGAAAGGTATAGAATCTTTATATTTGGCTGGTGGCTTCCTGGGATGGAGCCCAACAAAGTTTGAGAATGAAAATGACATTGACCTACTTGCAAGGTCACAGGGAAAAATATTCCAAACAACTTCTGAAGAAGAACCAAAAAGCATAGAATCTTATAATAATATTCGGCTGGTAGTTTCAACAGATGAAGCCGATAAAGTTTGCGAGTGAAATATTTGTAGTGCAATATAATATTTAATGAGAATATTTTGCTACGACTGCTTAAATATTCAGGTGAGCGATACAGGCCCTCTGGGCCTCTTGTTTTATATCAAAGGTGTGAGTTAAGCCTATTGATTAAGATTGTCCCTATTGGTTGTATAATTATTAAGATTATCCCTATTGGTTATATAATTAAGATTATAAAATCTCTGTTATTTGTATATTTCAGATAATTTCTAGTGTCTTTATCAAACATATATAGGATAACTTGATTATCTCTCTTCTGATGTAAACATTAAACAGTTTCTTTTTTACTTTTAAGTATATCAGAAAGGGCTTCAAAGTAAATTTTCTGTAAATACTCCAATACTATGCTAAAAATTGAATCAATATTTCTGAAAGGATCTTCTGAAAATAAATGTATTCGGATGTGTTGTTATATGTGAAGTCAAGTTTTCAGCAAGCAGTGTGGATATTAATGAGCACTGAGCCTGTGTGGTTTCCTAACTGTTTACCCTACCTGTTTGTAGATCTGTGCGTAATGACGGCGTCAGGTATACACTACTGTAGTTTGTGTGTGGGTTTGTTTACAAGCGACCACTCTCCGTATCATACAGTTTGTACATTGGCTCGGGATCAACATATATTGATGCATTGGTCTTCCACTTTTTAAGTTACTTCTGTTTAGATATATTTGCTTTAATTTTAATGTTTCATTCATTGATCAGTGTTTTCCCCAGCTTTATCTACTGAAGCAGCAGACTTTAATATTTAATTAAACTAAAACTAGAATTTCATCAATGATATAGACTGGAATATTGATGATTATTCTACTTTTAATCGGCATTATGAACGTATAGGATAAAGTCTCGAGCACAAGTTAAACACCAATAAAATATAGGAGAATTGAATTGTGCTGCTCTTTAGACAGTCTATAGCTAGGGAAAATATTGTCTACAAATTCTCTCCTATATCAAAATTACATATCTGTTTATTATAACACACCACAAGATTGATCCTGGATTGTTCATTATAATCAAACAAGCTTAATTCAGAAGTTAGAAAAAGGGAGATAACCAGTGTACACAGCAATGATACAGTGTGGTCGCCTTGTTGTCCAGGAGCTCTCTATGGTACTTATACATGTGTATTTTATACTGTCCACCAAACCCCCAACAAAGCAGAACTCAACAAAGGTCATTGTCAAAGACACCAATGGGTGACCTTATTTGATTCTGGAATTGAGTTTTACCGTGTAATTTATGCTCTCTATAATTAATTAATTTTGACCAATATAAATCGATGTTGAGTCATTATCTCCCCACTATGTAATACAAAATATAAATATAAATTCAATTTTGAAGTTTTATAGACATTTTCTATTGGATATAAAAATGTATGTTCAAAACAATTGTATTTGTAAGATTAATTCATGAAATGAACTGCAAAGTTCATCTTTATTTTTCATTGCAGAATAGTTTCTAAAACTATTTTGCGACATATATATTCCCATAAAAGCAATAGGTATTTATACTATTGTAAGAAATTGACTCAAACCTCATTATTTAGCATGTTGCTATTATAACATATAATTGGCCAGAGCATCAGCTACATTGGAAACACTGACATGTCATAACTGTTATAACTCTAACAAAATTAAAACAAATTCACCTTTTAACATCTTGAAAATGTTTTGAAAATTTCAACCCAAAATCCCCCCACCCTCCATCCTGTGTATCACATGTACATTTACGCTGTGTTGAAGTTTTATTTTTGTAAGAGATATTCCCAGTTATTTCTGTTGCTAAGTTCTGTATTATATTGCTTCAATGCATAAGCTGTTGAGTGTCGGGTACAGACAGGAATAAGACTCGGGTAGCGGTCCAGACTTTCTATGGTTTCCTTTTCAGACATGATTTATCAAATCTATAGTCATGCAGGAAAAAAATGTTTTGAATGCATAATCACAATTTTGGGCTGTGGTGCTGGGAGCCTTATAATTAATGGGTAAAATCAAGATTATGTGTACAAAACATTCAATGATATTCCTGCAAAGGGGAGAAAACGCAACAGATTTTTTAGTAAGAAAACCTTGCTACCTATGTATATGGTTATTTGTATAGTGGGTACTGGTAGAACTTAAGAATGGTGTTAAGCAGGGCTTTGCTGGACTGGACTTTTGACTTCTGCTTCATTTTTAGATGGCTTGGATTTTTTTACAAATATATTTTGAGGTGGACAGCTGCAGATTTTTGAAGAACATGCAATATTCTTTACATTTTGGTGTGTGCACTGAGTTTTTAAAGCATGTGCTGATGTAAATATAGGATTGACAGATTTTCTTTTCACTCTAATATACCAATTAATGTTCACATGGTACACTTTATCTTATATGTTTGTTTATTATTCACTATGTACACTTCGTATTCATCAATACAACCACTGATGTACTACACAAAGCTTACTCATCATCAGTAACAGTACACAGAATCTAGCACAACTTGGTTAACACTGCAACCTCTTGTCTAATCATCTTTAACTGTATAATATTTAAAATCAGATATAAACAAAAAAAATACTATGATTTTATTTATTGATATTGAAAGCATGACTAATAATGGTAATGTGCACTTTTGAAATCGGAACATTTATTAAAGTAAGGCTTAAGAATAATCCAGATTTTACTTTATTTTATCACAGTGTGTAACTTACCTTTTTAGTGTCATACATTTCAATTTAATTTGCATAAACAGAGAGTTATTCTTCTTACTTTTATATTTTCCAAAAGTAATGAACTCTTATTGCCTGTGTGGTGTGACAGATAGTTATTACCCTTGATTTTGGACCCTTTGATTTTATACAAGACATTTCCGTTACTTTTAAACCCTCAGCCCCCTCAATATGTCTTGAGTTATTTTTCTTGCTTTTTGACCCTGTGATTTTACAGAAGTTATTTCTATAGACCCGGTAATGTATCAATTGAAAATGCATTTCCTTTGTTTTTAGACCCAGTGATATTTGACATCAGTTCAATTAAACTAGAAGTTGTAATTATTGTGATTTACCATATAACTACAACAAAAATATATATATAGATCACTGAATATACAAAGTAGATAATGTATGTACTGAAGATCGAAAGCAATGCCAGTCTATAGTAGATTAGCAACAGTATATATGTTCTGTGTGTATATATCATATATCAGTCTGTTTTGATGGCCTATTATAATGACATCATCAACAATTCATAACGTATATATACACTTTAATATTTCAGATAATTTTATAATGCAGTTTTATTACCTGGAGAAGTATGAAACGATTGTATGCTTGCTTGTATATACAACTTGTACTTGTCGACTGTCAAATATGAGATGGAACCATAATACTTAATACAATAAGTTGTAAGGGGACATTATATCTCTCACAACATGATGATACTTAATTCTTTATACTGCATATACTCACCATATCATACCAAGTCTTTAATAGAGAAACTGTGGCAGAATGTAACATTGTAACACCGCAGGTATAATCAGTTTTGGGAACTGGATAATTAACTGGTACTATATATATAATACCTGTGGTATATAACATCACTATAATTGGAAAACTGAATAACAAACATGACAAAACTTTCTGTCAGTGTAAAAACGTTTTACTGTAGGTGGAGCATATATAATGTATAATTTGTTTTTGTTAATTACAATAGAACACAATATCAATTATACAGTATTGATAAATTAGTTTTGATTTGCATATAAGCTTAGTAATGGTTGTGGTCATCATGTCTGAATAAAAAGTCACAGGAACAAAAATAGATGAATCTGTTGGGTTAGTTTAAATTTTAATTTCCGAGGGAGATAATAAAGAAATAATACCTATAGGACAGGCAATTTGGAGATAATAAAGAAATAATACCTATAGGACAGGCAATTTGGAGATAATAAAGAAATAATACCTATAGGACAGGCAATTTGGAGATAATAAAGAAATAATACCTATAGGACAGGCAATTTGGAGATAATAAAGAAATAATACCTATAGGACAGGCAATTTGGAGATAATAAAGAAATAATACCTATAGGACAGGCAATTTGGAGATAATAAAGAAATAATACCTATAGGACAGGCAATTTGGAGATAATAAAGAAATAATACCTATAGGACAGGCAATTTGAAGTTACTTCTAAGGAAGGACACATTTTAATATAATAATAATAATAAAAAATAATAATTTCAGAATCTTATATACCGCTTTATCACAACCTAGTTTGTAGGTCGTCTCAAAGCGGTTAACAAATTATTATCTGTGGTTATAGGGCCTTTGCAACCAGCCAGTATCTTTCTCAACTCCCTGGGGAGCATACAGCCGGTGCTGCCATTTCGGCGCTTACAGCTAGCATTCTACAATTCTAGCACTGCCCAACCACGTACTCATTTACAGCTGAGTTGACTCGAACCCACAGTAATATGCTTGTTATAATGTACAGCTTCTTTTTAAACATGTTATTGTGTCAGTAGATGCGAAGAAAGTCATAACATTCTGATATCTAATATAAATTCAACAATACTTTTTAATAACATTTAATTACTAACAAAATGTAAGAATTTAGACTACTATTCAGTATTTGTGATTTTATGGTATCCAAAGATATAAAAAGAGCAAATTCAGTGTCTGTATTTATTTACTTTTAGTACATTAAATGATTGCACTGTTCTGACTATTTAACACTAATGATTTATAAACCTATAAACACATTCAGTAAATCACTGACACATGTACCTGATAAATTTAGAAATCCAAGGTTGTCTTAGAATAAGTATAGTGTATATATATAGGATCTTAAATGAGTTTTCATTTCAAATGAGATTTTGTGAAATGAGTCTAAGGAGTTTTTTTTTTTGCAAGCCTTGGCGAGCAAAAATTCAAATTTCGAGACGAGTTTCCTAAAAGCTCATATGAAAAGTAAACAAATTTAAGATACTTTTTATCACATAACTCAGAAAAAAGTACATTTTGACAGGTTTAAAGCTAAAATGTAGAGGGCTTAATCAAACGGAGACAACCGGCCATTTTGTTGCGCCATTCACAATTTATGATGTCACGCCATTGTCCATATTATGACGTCACAATCGATTTCTGACTGGCACAGCCAATGAAAAACGCTCCAGGGTATAATACACGAGTTACATAATGTAAAAATATTACACGGGCGAATTCACGGGATAACAGGCCGATTATGTGATAAATCAATACAATGAATTAAGCTGTTAATCCTTAGTTATACACTATTAACCTAATACCTTCTTTAGGTGTTATTATAAACCCATATTGTTATACCAGAAAAGTGCACGCTTTACCTCCTTAGGCAAATTATATCTGTCAAGTGGCTAATTCTATACCTGTAAATACTTCCTCTCTGTCTAAGAAAGTAACCGTTATGTCACCTATCGGATTAAATAAAACAACTGATATATATCTATTGTGAATGAGGTGTATAATTCTACAAACTATGATTACATCACGCTGTGTTATATGTGTAACATTTTAAGTCTGGCACATGTTATTTCCAATGTTGTAAGAATCACTGAATTTTTTTTTTTTTTTAATCTGAGCATTATTAGTTGGTCAATTAACATCAACTTCATTACACAGGTCTCTTGACATACATGAATGCTACTTTTTACAGCTTAAATATTTATTCAATTTTTGAATTACAAAATGTGATAAAAACAATTTTGATTTTATATACCAGGTACATTTACTATATTTTCTACAATATCTGTATAACAATATAAATTGGCTTGTTTCAAGTTGACAACTTGGCACTGACACTGAGCTCTGATCCTCACGATGACAGATAGTTATAAAAGGATTTTCAACTATACCAGGACCTTCACAGGGCCAGTCCAATGCCTGTTGAAATCTGACTTTTCCAATGCCGAACATGAAAACATCAAAGTGTTATCCAACAAGAGAGAAATTCCAAAAAGACTGCATGGTCATTGATCCTGTCATATCTGACCTATAATGACTGGTTTCCTATGTTAGAACACCATCCTGTATTTATATCTTTGTTTGAATGACACTTCCCTTAATTATCCTGATGTTTAAACACTTCCCTTAATTATCCTGATGTTTGAACACCTAATTTATCCCTTGTCATATTGTCCATCACAATATTAAGTTATTTCTCCAGGCACAGTATCTTTTCGTGGAGTTTTTTCTATTAAATTAAAGGTATATCTTACATATCAAAATAACCATGTTTGATACTGACCGTTGTCTGTTGTCATGAAGTCGTGCTTAACACATACTATTACGTGTGGTTTACAGTAATGGTGACAAGTACGCTGGTCAGTGGGTCAATGATCGGCGGGACGGAGAGGGAGAGCTGACCTGTACCGACGGAACAGTGTACTCAGTAAGATCCTATCATCTGTCTCATATAAAAAAAAAAAAAATATTGAACAACCAAGTGATTTGAGAAAAATGAATTCCTTACTTTGATACTTGAATGATTTATCAATATCATAACTGGACATATATTTCAATTTGATATTGGGATCTCATCCAATTTTTGTTCTGATTTTTAGCTTATAGAAATATCCATAAATAAAAGTAGAAAGAAAAAGAATATCTTTATATATGCTTTGCACATTCTGCCTTGCCATTTATTCAATTTTATGACATTGTAAATACACCTTTAAATGTATACATGTATTTGTAACAAGCTAGGTTAATTGTTTTAGCCATTGCATCTTATTTTAATCTAGCTGTTATGACTTTCTGTTTACAGGGCCATTTTATAGATAATTTGTTCCATGGGTTTGGACTCCTTAAACATATTTCTGGTTATTACTACAATGGAGAGTGGGCTTTTGGTCAGCCGGTCAAAGTTGCCACTAAAATAGTCATCAAGATCGAAGAGAATCCTTTTATCATCAGACAGGGTCTTCCCTTCTCTGTTAAAGTGGAGTGTCAAAATGATGAGGGAGAGGTCATTGAGGGTAAGTATTGCTTTCCACTCCTTACTTCTCTGTTAGGGTGAGTGTCAGATGAAATGAGGTCATTGAGGGAAGGTATTGCTTCCCACTCCTCACTTCTCTGTCAGGGTGTCAGACAAAGCTGAGGTCATTTAATGTTTGTATTAACCTCTCATCCTTAGAGGTGAGTGTCAGATGAGGGCAAGGTCATTGAGGGTATGTAATGCTTCCCACCTCTCACTTCTCTATCAGGATGAGTGTCAGATGAGGGCGAGGTCATTAAGGGTATATATACCTCCAAACCCCTCACTTCTCTATCAGGATGAGTGTCAGATGAGGGCGAGGTCATTAAGGGTATATATACCTCCAAACCCCTCACTTCTCTATCAGGATGAGTGTCAGATGAGGGCGAGGTCATTAAGGGTATATATACCTCCAAACCCCTCACTTCTCTATCAGGATGAGTGTCAGATGAGGGCGAGGTCATTAAGGGTATATATACCTCCAAACCCCTCACTTCTCTATCAGGATGAGTGTCAGATGAGGGCGAGGTCATTAAGGGTATATATACCTCCAAACCCCTCACTTCTCTATCAGGATGAGTGTCAGATGAGGGCGAGGTCATTAAGGGTATATATACCTCCAAACCCCTCACTTCTCTATCAGGATGAGTGTCAGATGAGGGCGAGATCATTAAGGGTATATATACCTCCAAACCCCTCACTTCTCTATCAGGATGAGTGTCAGATGAGGGCAAGGTCATTAAGGGTATATCTACCTCCAAACCCTCACTTCTCTATCAGGATGAGTGTCAGATGAGGGCGAGGTCATTAAGGGTATATATACCTCCAAATCCCTCACTTCTCTATCAGGATGAGTGTCAGATAAGGGCGAGGTCATTGAGAGTATGTATATCTCCCATATACATTTGTATATACAAGACACATATAGTGATATATATTTATGTACATGTATATACAAAACATATTGTGATATATATATACAAAACATATACCGGTAGTGATATATATACAATATATAGTGATCAGTGTGCCTTGAATATGTAATAATAATTATGTTTTGTTTTCCACCAGAACATGGCCGGGAGCTGCGACTTCTAGTTGGGTTTAAGTACTATGCACCCAAGGAGGGCTCTGTATTATTTGATATGATTGAGGATGTGGAGGACAAACCAATAGATACACCATTGTGAGTGTTCCTATGACAATAGATACACCATTTTATCTAGTACTGAAAAACAATTCTACCATTTCATTCAACTGACAATTGGTTTATTGTTCATATTTATCCTTTCATATGCTATAAAGGAATGTTTATATCAAATATTCATAAACATCTTATGGATGTGAATTATTTTGAGATCAATAATCTGCTTTATATCCATTATCACTTTACAATGATCGCGAGTTTGTTAACCCACATAGATGAGAACTAGTCAAGGCATACGTACTATAAATTCATGTGGTTAGTGTTGACCAATATAATTTGATAACTGAAATGCCTTAGTGGTTATCAGGTGGTGTCCATTTTAACTAATTGAATACCTTGTTACAATGGGTATCAGGTAGTGCCTATTTTAACCGATGAAATACCATGTAACAGTGGTTATCAGGTGGTGCCCATTTTAACTAATGAAATACCTTGTACAGTGCAATGAAATACCTTGTTACGATGGGTATCAGGTAGTGCCTATTTTAACCAATGAAATACCTTGTAACAGTGGTTATCAGGTAGTGCCTATTTTAACCAATGAAATACCTTGTAACAGTGGTAATCAGGTAGTGCCTATTTTAACAAATGTAATACCTTGTTACAGTGGTTATCATGTAGTGCCTATTTTAACCAATGAAATACCTTGTTACAGTGGTTACCAGGTGGTGCCTTACCCTGTGTCAGACCAAATCAACACATCTGAAGGTGGTGATGGCCCAGATGATGAGGAGAAGGAGGATGAACTGTCAAAGTCACAAAATCAGACTGATATCATTGAAGGTATATACAACAACAACACAGTGTACACTCAGACTGACTGATATCATTGAGTGTATTATACAACAACAACCCAGTGTACACTCAGACTGACTGATATCATTGAGTGTATATACAACAACAACACAGTGTACACTTAGACTGACTGAAATCATTTAAGGTATATACAACAACAACACAGTGTACACTCAGACTGACTGATATCATTGAAGGTATATACAACAACAACACAGTATACACTCAGACTGACTGATATCATTGAAGGTATATACAACAACAACACAGTATACACTCAGACTGACTGATATCATTGAAGGTATCTACAACAACAACACAGTGTACACTCAGACTGACTGAAATCTTTGAGGGTATATACAACAACAACCCAGTGTACACTCAGACTGACTGAAATCATTGAGGGTACATACAACAACAACAACACAGTGTACACTCAGACTGACTGAAATCATTGAAGGTATATAAAACAACACAGGGTACACTCAGACTGACTGAAATCATTGAGGGTACATACAACAACAACAACACAGTGTACACTCAGACTGACTGAAATCATTGAAGGTATATACAACAACACAGGGTACACTCAGACTGACTGATATCATTGAGGGTATATACAACAACAACACAGTGTACACTCCGACTGACTGATATCATTGAAGGTATATACAGCAACAACACAGTGTACACTCAGACTGACTAATATCATTGAAGGTATATACAACAACAACATAGTGTACACTCAGACTGACTGAAATCATTGAGGGTACATACAACAACAACAACACGGTGTACACTCAGACTGACTGAAATCATTGAGGGTACATACAACAACAACAACACAGTGTACACTCAGAATGACTGATATCATTGAAGGTATATACAACAACAACATAGTGTACACTCAGACTGACTGAAATCATTGAAGGTATATACAACAACAACAACACAGTGTATACTCAGACTGACTGATATCATTGAGGGTATATACAACAACAACACAGTGTACACTCAGACTGACTGATATCATTGAAAGTATATACAACAACATCACAGTGTACACTCAGACTGACTGATACCATTGAGGGTATATACAACAACACAGTGTACAATCAGACTGACTGATATCATTGAAGGTATATACAACAACATCACAGTGAACACTTAGACTGACTGATATCATTGAAGGTACATACAACAACACAGTGTACACTCTGACTGACTGTTATTATTGAGTGTATATACAACAACACAGTGTACAATCAGACTGACTGATATCATTGAAGGTATATACAACAACAACACAGTGTACACTCAGACTGACTGATGTCATTGAAGGTATATACAACAACATCACAGTGTACACTCAGACTGACTGATACCATTGAGGGTATATACAACAACACAGTGTACAATCAGACTGACTGATATCATTGAAGGTATATACAACAACGTCACAGTGTACACTCAGACTGACTGATACCATTGAGGGTATATACAACAACACAGTGTACAATCGGACTGACTGATATCATTGAAGGTATATACAACAACAACCCAGTGTACACTCAGACTGACTGATATCATTGAAAGTATATACAACAACACAGTGTACCCTCAGACTGACTGATATCATTGAGGGTATATACATCAACAACACAGTGTACACTCAGACTGACTGAAATCTTTGAAGGTATATACAACAACAACACAGTATACACTCAGACTGACTGAAATCATTGAAGGTATATACAACAACACCACAGTGTACACTCAGACTGACTGATATCATTGAAAGTATATACAACAACATGACAGTGTACACTCAGACTGACTGATATCATTGAAAGTATATACAACAATATCACAGTGTACACTCAGACTGACTGATATCATTGGAAGTATAATAGACAACAACAACACAGTGTACACTCAGACTGACTGAAATCACTGAGGGTATATACAACAACAACACAGTGTACAATCAGACTGACTGATATCATTGAAGGCATATACAACAACAACACAGTGTACACTCAGACTGACTGAAATCATCAAGGGACCAGCTTCTGTTACCTTTACAGTATTTGTTCTAAATATCAGCTTCAGTTATTACAGTGTCAAAATAATTTCCTGTGTATTGTTTGGATGACATTTAGAGTAAAATCATGCACAGTTTAAACAGTGAGAAATTTCCTTGTTGATCATTATTAGGCAAAAACACTGATACACCACAATTACACTGAAATTATTGTAGAATGACAGTTATATATAATTCTGTGTAAGTTGTTAAAAGTGAAGACAGTAATAATAAACCATTAAAAACGTGTTAGATATTTTGTGTTAATGGTTGATCAGTAAGAAATTATACTTCTCAGTAAATGTATGAATTTTCAATTATTCAGAGTATACCAGCCATTCCCTATCTGTGATTACCTCCCTTTTATAATAATGTAGTTGATTTATTTAAGTAAATTACCAGCCTTGACTGGAATTTGGTACAACTCCTGATGTCTCAGGCAACTGGACCTTAAAAGTAGACGTAATAACTGTATCAATATTGTTTGTCTCTGGGAACTGGCCATAGCATGTCTGTGTCTATTGTACATGTAATAGATAGAACATGTATACAGTCCTACATGTATTACTCGAAATGTTCGTGGACGTTGTATATAACATTTTTGGATTTCCCGGTTGTTATGTTTGTTTTATATTGAGATGTCCATAAAATAATTTTGTACCACAAAAATATTCAAATATCTTCAAACCTCGAAGTAAAATACCCATGAATATTTCATACATTTAGACCATTAAAGGAGATATATACACACAGAGTCAACACTTCTATTTTTTTATAAAAGTAAGTTGTGTCCCTTACAGATGCACCAGAGGACCAGGGAGAGGAAGAACATGAAGAAGAGGAAAAAGAAAAAGGTGATGATGGGTTGGAAAAGAAAGTAGAGGAGGATGAGGATAAGACGGGCGTTGCTGTGGGAACAGATGAGGAGGGTGTAGCTATTGGAGGAGAGAATGTGCCAGGTCTTTGTAACACCTGCTTTGCTGTGTGCATGCTTTACATAGCCTCTTTTGCATTAGGACAACTTTTCACTGAAACTTCAATTTGAACTGTATCATGGCTATTTTGAACACATTGTAGTATTATATCTTCTGGTCCTAGTTTCACAAACATTTCTTAAGAAATTCAACAAAATTGTTGGAGGTCCAAGATATACAGTTTGCCAATTTTATTCATGAAAAGTGCCATATTATGTATCAGTTGTGATCAGTGACAGGTGACCTATTTTCATTTATGCATTTTCTGTCTTGCGTGAAGTTTGGTTTTATTCATTTCTTCAGTCATTCATTTCTGTCTTTCTCATATTATATATCTATTTAACTATTATAATTAAACTATCCTTTCACTTAATAGTTTACTGACTAATTATCCGGCAATAAGCCCATGCCTGGTAATAAGCCCACCCATATATATTGCCTTTCAGTAGAAATGCCAGTAATGTTATTTTTGTGTAATGAGGCTCTCCCTCTTTATTCAGGGATCATGTGTTGGCCCGTGGGTTTATTGCAGGGTAAATACAGTACTTATCCTATCACTGAATGATTAAACTATCCACTATAGATTGTATTATCCTATCACTGAATTATTAAACTATCCACTATAGATTGTATTATCCTATCCTATCACTGTAAACTTGATTATCCTAAAACTTAAACTACCACTACTAGTTTACAATCATTTTGCACTACCATGTGATTGCTAATGTTTTGAGTAATATGTTTCTAAAATGAGCAACGGTAATGTTTGCTAGTTTTTAAATCTCTATGACTATTTGACAATTAATTGTGAGATGTATTAATCATATACATTACATCATTCAAACTTTTTGGTATAAAATTGTAACTTAGAAGTATTACTGGTTATCATAAGATGATATACACCGATAATCACTTGATTTGACTGCCCTGAGACACTTTATATCTTTATATGATTCTATGAGTATTTGTCATAGTTAGGAACAGATCTACTAGCTAGTGTGTAACAATCTGATATAATAGACTACTCGTCTGGTTCATCTGTCCAGGTAAGTGGTAAAGGTGAATCATATGGTGGAATAATTTCTTGTTTTCTTAAAATGGTAGATTTAGATGCATGTATAAAAGAAATCTACACTTTACATAGTTTTATATGCATGCACTTGTGTTTAATAGACTAGAACCTGGTGATTCTATCCTCATGTTAGACATTACAAAACATCGTGTATAGTGGGAAATTAATCAAAACTACTGTAGTTTAAAGTTTTATATCTGATAAAAGGCAAGGTAATGCCATGTCATGTTGATGTCGTGTCATGGACTTGAGGTACAAGGTAGTAAAATGTCTGTACTTACCTACATGATACATTACAACTAATAGAGACAAACTCCATTGATCTAATATTAAGGATCCCTGTCCCACCAGTAATAGAGACAAACTCCATTGATCTAATATTAAGGATCCCTGTCCCACTGCAGGCAAAACACTTGAGAGTTCCAGTGTATTTTTGCATAGACAGTAACCTGCATTTGGTCTTTGGTATATACTTGTAGCTCAACTTGGCCAGAACATTTCTGTTGATCAGGAAGCTGGTGAGAGCGACAGTATAATGATCTGAAGTCCAGGGTTCAACTCCTGGTCTGGCACTGTTTTCTTTATTATTGTTTTTTTTTTATTATCATTTTGTCTCGCCGCCACATAGCAGCGGAAGCGATACTTAAAGGTGTTGCTTTGATGGTCAAAGCGAGACATATCAATCCAAATGGGTTGTTTCATAAAAGTCCAAAGTATGTTTTCCTCTTCAGAAATGATTTAGTAAAGCTTATCTGTCATCCATAAAAAGATCTAGAGTTTCTAATGAATAGTTAGAGTTTTTGTGAGTAGTTTGTGGGTCCTTATCACATAGTCCAGGAAAACTGAGACACCAGATAACGTATTAATGTCATATTCCACTGTACATACAAACCAATGATGTGGTCTGACAACTCTATTTGTCTACACAGGGTGAGAATTCTTAATCGTGGTAGTATGTAAGGCAAATCAGGTAACATATATCGTGGTAGTATGTAAGGCAAATCAGGTAATATATATCGTGGTAGTATGTAAGGCAAATCAGGTAACGTATATCGTGGTAGTATGTAAGGCAAATCAGGTAATATATATCGTGGTAGTATGTAAGGCAAATCAGGTAACGTATATCGTGGTAGTATGTAAGGCAAATCAGGTAATATATATCGTGGTAGTATGTAAGGCAAATCAGGTAATATATATCGTGGTAGTATGTAAGGCAAATCAGGTAACGTATATCGTGGTAGTATGTAAGGCAAATCAGGTAACGTATATCGTGGTAGTATGTAAGGCAAATCAGGGAACATATATCGTGGTAGTATGTAAGGCAAATCAGGTAACATATATTACTGATATCATCCAAAGTATACTATACAATACCATGTTATTATTTTGCTGTTTATGTGCAGTCAAAATGCACATTTTAAACAATTTTAGCTGTGTTAATATTTTTTACAAAGTCCAATCCCTGTAAATACGATTAAGTTATAGGAAGCTTAACTACAAAAACTGATATATTATGAAAATTGAAAGATTTATATTTTATATTTTGTTATAAATTATTAATTAATGTTTTTTGACATATCAGCTTTGTTATTTTGAGTACAGATGGTGCAGTAGAGGAGAAAGCGGAGATTGTTGAGGAGAAGGAATCTGTGACTCTGCCACCGCCGATCCCAAACCACCGATGTGAGCATGGATTAACCGATTGGGAAAATCTTCAGTTGGCACCAGCGCCACCTATGTATAGACCATTTGTTGCCATGGAGGAAGCAGCACACGGAAAATTTTCAAAGGGGAAATCAAAATCAAAAATAGGTAAGACACATACTGTAATGTTTGAGGTTAATTATAAGTAAGACTGTTGTTAGAGCTCAAACTGCAGGATCACATTTTAATATCTAAAAATATCAGTGCATTGTTTAATATTAGCCAGTTATATACCTGGTAATAAATGTATTTTATTGATTTGACTTCTTGGTGAGCATGATTTCGGTACTGAGTTAAACAGTGTGATTTTATGGAAGGTGTAAGGAAGGAATAACATGGTTTTTACCATAGCCATGGAATTGCTGTTTGGCGTTAACATCTGAAACGGTAATAATTCTTTTCTGTTTAGTTTATGCTTTTACTCAAACAATAATATGATGTGTATATTTATTCTGTTTTGATTGTAAGTCTTACAGCTGGTGAATTGATTTATATAACTCTGCATGTTTTGTTGTAATGAAGACTACATGACCACATGTGTTTCCTAGATAGACATGCAGCAGGAATTCATATGAAACCACATTCTTCACTTTATATATTTGTTGGGATGCATGTTTTTGTGTTGGGGAAAACAGATCCTTCTCTACATTGAGGACAGGAATCCTGTTAAATCTCACCCCTCCTTTAGTTGGAGGGTAGTTATCCTATTAAAACACTCTGATTTTGATACCACTGTATGAAATGTGAGAGTTAAACATGCAGTAAAACACTCTTACTAGGGATATAGTGAATTAGCACTTAAAACTAAATCATCTTTTATCCCCAGGTGGCGAATTATCTCATTAACAATGAACTCATAAACAAAGTACTAATTAACACAATCGTACTTACCAGCTTAAGCTACATATATCAGTGTATAGAGTAGATAGGTATTAACCAGTAGTAGCTACATGTAGTATGTAATATCATTTTTATATTCACACCTCTTCAGGGTAAATCTTCCTAAACTCTACTTTCCATGTCAGATGCTGTAATCTTTATTTGACACAAAAACAATGAATGTAAACCTGAGAATAATTGTAACAGGAGGAAAACTGCCAGACTGGGATTCGAACCCAGGACACTCATTTTTCTGAGTCTTTACCAACAAAGACATTACTATTTACAACCCTAGTTCAGGTATTCCCTTGCCAAGCATTCACCTAGTACTAGAGACAAGGGTTGGTCACAGGCACCAGGAGCGGAAAGCATACATGGCCAGACTGGGATTTGAACCTTGGCCTCTCTGAACTCTAGATGGATGCTCTACCTGTTGAGCTACCTGGTCGCCACCAATCGACCCAGTCCAGTTCCACATCATATATAGTTGTAGATTTCATAAGAATTTTATCTTTCATTTTCCAATATAAGACAACAATCAGACATCTTTGGCTTTATAGTAAAAAGTAGGAAGTCAGCCCTCTTAGGTTCTGTGTTAAAATGTATGAAGTCTTATCTTTGGTTCAATGGCTAAGCAGTAGGAAGTTCTCACATTGCTGTATTTCTAATCATTCTTTTTTTTTAGATGTAAAATGTTTCATAATGTAAAATCAGACTCAATTAAGCCATTGAATGTATCAGTTATCTTTACTAATCACTGGTCAGCGATCAGTCTGACCTTCAAGTACACATCTTAGCTATGGGTAGGTGACCTTCAATACAGTAAATACACAGGCTACAGGTGATGTTTATGAACATGTGCTACATAGGTGACCTCGGAAGGTGTAAACAAATTAAGTTACACTGAGTATTGATTTTTGTATTTTTTTTAAAGTTTTGATGATCATTTTTTTTTTTATCTACATTTTCTTGAAAAAAGTCGGAATGTGGATAATTCACACATTGAAACCTGTTAACACATGTCCTTTTACAATGTAATTCATATATTGTTCTTGTTTGTTAAACTGTATTTCAGTTCGGAAAACGAGTCTGGTGGCAAATACAATCACAGTGCCCCAGGTTGTTCATGCTTCAACTATGCGTAGGTGGCAATCTCATCATTCTCCCCTTTTTTTTGTTTCCAGTCCTGTGACCTGTTGGCAGGGTGTAGATCTTGGCCAACTCCCTCGATGTTTTAATGACCTAACGTTCCTGACAGTCCACCCCATAATAAGTCCATGTTGTTGCAGCACATTCACAATTTAGCACCATATTGAAGGTTTTGTCTTTAACCTTCAAGTTCACAACTCCCTCCTGATTTGATATCGTATCATAAGCTTGAATAAGATATCTATTTGATGTGTTTCAAAATAGCAGTATTACAGTGCAAGTTGAGGGAAAAAGTCAATAAGAAATTATACGTTGATGATTATTTCTTAAAGTTGGAAAGTTTATTGCTCAAAGCTAATGTTAAACTTACACCTCAGTGTTCTCAGCATCACATTGAAGTATGTCATCCATCCACAAAACTGTTTAAAATGGTGTAACCCTTCCTTTATATTCTGAAAAGGATGACATAATTCACATGTATAGCTGTTAAACGCCTATGATATCATCTACCGAAAACTTGTATTTTCATGTTTTAAAATAAAGAAAGGTTAATTTAGCTATTGACAATATTATATATCATATAGTACAAGTCTTGACAGACTGCTGTAACAGTTATTAATAACTGCATTGTCTCTTTTTGTATAATTTATTTTTTTATAAAGTTTTGCTAAATTTTCTTAGTTGGAAAGTCTAGCCTACTGTATAGCGATCCACCTTCACTTTCACATGCGATGAGCACTGCATTACGTGTAGTATTCTCCCCTTATTGTACCTATGTTTAAGTACAGTGTCCATGTTTTTATTCGTCTGACAGAACCTCTGACTCGCAGACCTTCCTTCAATGCATCAAGAATGACAACTTGTAAGATACCATCTGTACAACAGGAAACAGTGTCTTTTTTCTGTGATAACTAAACCCTCCCTCGATCTTTTCTCCCTGTGGTTGTACGACACTGCGCCAACATTTTGTATCTGATGATAACTAACGCCTCCCTTTGTACTTCCTATGGTTGGATACGACACCGCGCCAACATTTTGTATCTGATGATAACTAACGCCTCCCTTTGTACTTCCTGTGGTTGGATACGACACAGCGCCAACATTTTGTATCTGATGATAACTAACGCCTCCCCTTGTACTTCCTGTGGTTGGATACGACACAGTGCCAACATTTTAATTTGTATCTGATGATAACTAACGCCTCCCTTTGTACTTCCTGTGGTTGTACAACATTAATCCCGTCATATTGTATCTTCTGATAACTTAATCACACCTCCCTGTGCACTTAAATTCTGTTGCTGTATATATGACACCAATCAAAGCAAAGTTTTTCGCTTAAAATATAATAATTAATATATCACTCCTGTATGTGTGCTAAATATCTTCTATTAAAAAGTAATGATTGACAGCTGTATATATCTTTTGTATATATACAATGTATTATGGAAAGAACATTAAATTTGTCATTATCATAATCATACCAATAAGAAGTAGAGTGGCAACAATGACATGTTTTTGTACAAATTTGTCTGAAAATTACTCTGTTGCTTACACCAACATGACTATCAGAACACAAAGTTAAATTGTAACAGTGTTAATGTTTATTTTTAGGATTAGTGAAATATGTCATAAACTTTTTTGATCCGCAATGTAACAAAGTCATTTTATTGTACATGTGTTTGTTCAATAAAAAGATGACCGATTGATAAATGTCAATGTCTTTAACATTACACACGTGATGTCACAAGCTCCAGAAGCTGAATCTCATATAACATTCATAGTGCCATGAATACAGCTCGACTTTGGTAGCTATATTACAAACAATACTTGTGAAGTAGTAATGAAGGTATATATAGCTGTATACAATTCATAAAACATCAAGGAACATCTTTCACTAACCCTTCTCTTATACCTCTACTGTTTTGAATTAATCTAGGTTTTGGTACAAAATTTTAAATCTTAATTAATAAAATGAAATATCACTGTCGTATGTCCACATCACTTATCTGTCTTGTGTTGTTTACTTTGATTCTGGTAATTCATCCAGAATTGCATCGTTGCCATGGCAGCTGTATTTAAAACTTATAATCATTACATAACATATTTGATATAAATTAAATATATATTGTAAGGTTTGCATTTAACGGACCTACATATTTCATTCCACTGAAATGTGATTAACAGAAATGTGTAATTATAGTTAGTTTTTAAGATGGATTTATAGAATGCACTGGAAACAACCATGCAAGTATCACAATTGTGCTTAACAAACTGAACTCTGTGAAGTTAACCCTATTCCTGAGCCTTTGGTGTCACTAACAAGCATTACCAACAAGACAGTTGTCAGCTGGTATTATTAGTGTATTTATTTAATTTCTTTAAATTTCGAGGTTTTTCATTAAAATACAGATTTCCTCTTACTCAGTGGTCAGATAAGACAGGTTCTACTGTACATAATAGTAACTTCTGTTTAACTGTAAATAATATACATAGAGATGGATTATAGCTAATACGGTAGAAATTACTATACTTAGTATTCTAACTACTAGTGGTGCTGTGGAAATCAATTAACTTTTAAATTTTACAGCTAGACACTAATTGATATAAACTGTAGTTTAGTGTAGGTACATTATACATGTAGCTGTTGTAACTAGTCTACACATGTAATAAGTATATCTGACTCATCTCAGTGTATTGTGTAAACGTTACATGCCAATCTTATCCTTTCAGTGGATAGATATAGAAAACAACGAGAAAAAGAAAGACAAGAAAAATATGCAAAAACAGGTAAGTCTTCTAAAGGCTAAGGTTGTTTACAACACAAACAGGTAAGTCTTCTAAAGGCTAAGATTGTTTACAACACAAACAGGTAAGTCTTCTAAAGGCTAAGATTGTTTACAACACAAACAGGAATTGAAAACTTTTTTGACAAAGGAAACAAGATGTTTTTGAAAGATCGCAAAATAAATTTTCAAATCCTGTTTGTGTTATAAACATTCTAAGCCTTGAACTATTATTCATTCCAAACTGATGAATCTTATTCCAAAAGGTAAGTCTTCTGTTTTTTCAGCATATTATTTGACATAAAATTGCTTAAAGTAGTTTCTTAAAAATTCTTCAGTTTAAAACTGGTTTTTATTTTTAATTTGTGTCATTTTGATTTCTTTTGTATGTGATAAGACATCTGAGAATACTAAAAAACAAATCTGGTGCTGTGTTGTAGGGGAATATGTGTTGATGGTACATGATGTGACACAACCTCCTGCCATGGACAAAGTCCTCGAGCCAGCCTTTCACCTACTCAAACTCAAACGGCCCAAACGAGAACCAGTCAAAAAGGAAAAGGGACCAAAGTATGTATTAATTCTTCTTTGGCACTCTAGTGACCCTCTACAGGCATTCTGGTTGTGGTATTATAAACTGTTTATATATGCTGTACTTTGGACAGTTATATCCAAACTTTTCTGGTGCGAGTTATCCTTGTTTCACCCTAGGGTTGAGACAAGCAGATTTCGTTGTCATAACAATTGTATGATGTCACGCCAACAAAGCATTAACATCATGCAAATCATCCATTTGGCATTGTATATAACAGGTCACAGGGTAAGAGAAAAGAAATCATTCATTTGGCATTGTTTATAACAGGTCACAGGGTAAGAGAAAAATGAAATAATTTCCATGAGAGCGAGATGAAGGATCTTAACCCTTGGGAAAGGATTCTTAATAAGTGGCAAACGCTCAGCAATAACGCCTTATGTGTGGCAACTTTACAATGTTGCCCTTTAAGTTTAGATCCTCTTTTCTCATCCCCAAGGGGATGAAAGATTGTAATAATGTGTTGATAGTGTAACTGGGTTGTGGGAATAACAATACTATTTTACTGATCCTTCATGTTAATTTCAATTATATATACATTTTACATGTTGTTATAAATATAATGCTGATTAAAATCTATTGTTTGACCATGTGAATTGATAGTCTTTAGAGTCCGATAATCTGAACTATTCTTTAAATATATATATACATTTTATTTTTTCTTGTCTGTATCAATAACGACTATCATAGATTACAATGGAAGTTAACTCAGGCATCTGAACTCTGACAAATATTTTGCAATTTATAATGTTGCTTTATATATGAAAGTTTTGCTGGCTTCAGCACTTTTAGGCTATAACATTTTATAGACATGTGGTGAAAAAGTGTTTTTGTTTTGTAAGCTTTTTGTGTTGGTGGATAAAAACTTGCTTTCAATGTAAATGTTCTTAAAGCATCAAATATGTCTCTACAGTATAAGGATATAATATGTCTCTACAGTATATATATATAAATTACACCAATCACTTTTCTCTAATGTGACATAGATACAGATATGTAGTTTTCAGGATATTTTGATGTAATAATGAAGGTTTAATGAAAATTTCTGTTACTTTAAAAAAAACAAGTTACAGTCACTTAAGAATATAATGACCTAATTAACTTATACATATGTATATTTATCATATTCATACCTATTTGTTAAATATTAAAGAGACTTACATTTAGTTTGGTGGTGGGTAGTGTACTATTGAATGATTAGTAAAATACTTGATATATTGAGTGGTTTTGATCTCTAGAATTTGATAAGTAATACGATTTTGTTTGTTTTGCGCTAATTTCTTGGCCTAATTTCACAGAACAATATGAGATCAGAAATGAGATAAAAATGCAAAATTTAGACATAATGTCAAATATATGGCTCAAAAGGGTAACTATTGAAAAGTGTTTTGTGAAAGTTAGGCCTGTTATTATCAAATGTGCTTATTATTGTATGTTTTTGTTGACATTGAATTTCTGTAATCTCACCAGAAAAATTCACAGTGTGTGATGAAACACAAGGTAACGGGTACCGGTAGTCATTGCCTAGAAATTAGAGTTACATGCTTGTAATTAGCATGGCATCTTGTGATAGCATTAGGTTGTGTGTGTCCCTATTGTATAATTATAAGATAACAATCGTGTGCCATGAGATAGGCTATTGAGGTGTTACATAGCGACAGGGTGGGGTGGTGCACGGGGCGGGGGGCATGAGATAGGCTATTGAGGTGTTACATGGCGACAGGGTGGGGTGGTGCACGGGGAGGGGGGCATGAGGTGGCTCTGCTGATTGAAGGACAAATGTAGGGGAAAACATTTTTGTCTGTTGGGTTTCTAAACATTCTGAAATGAAATGTTAAGAAACAATTTCTTTCAATAGGAAAGATTATGAATATTGTAATATGCATCAATGCCGAAATTTGAGAAAGGAGTCAAGACTAAAAGTTAATTTAATAACACTTTTCTGGTCAAATAATGTTGTTTTTTTCACAAATGGGCAGATCTGTGTTAAAAATGTTCTATTTTTTATCATTTCTACAGTTTTATCAATATTGGTGTATTATTATTATTTTTTTGTTTTGTCTTCATTTCAAAAAGGCACTGAATCCACTATATGCTACGTATGACAAGTTTTGCTGATAAAGGGAGATAACTTCAGAAATGAAATAATGAATAGAAAATTTAGTTCTCTTTAAATAGACTTAATTTCATTTTAAATATTGAGGCTGTCTCCATTGTTTCATACTTGTTTGTTTTAGTTTCGATTATTTCTATGGGGTGCTTTTTTATATATATTACTGTTTACAAGAACTTGTCTTGATTTATATGTCTTTAATTGAATCAGTAATAAATGCATGCGCGATTATTACTGAAGGTTATGCTATACGACAGTAGATGAGACTAGATAGAGGCGATGTGGCTTACTCACTGTACCCCTAGTTTGATGGCTTGCCTCACCCGCTGTGACATTAATTGGCTTTACACAATAGCTAGGCTTTGCTACAGCGGACTTCCTTTATGTTCTTTTTCTTCTTACTTAGTTTTGCTTAAAAAAAGTGTATAACATTGTATAAAGGGGTAAGCGTATCAAATTTGACAGGTTCTCCATAGATATCATTGTAGTTTTATCTATTGTTAGATCTCCATAGATATCATTGTAGTTTTATCTATTGTTAGATTCTCTTTAGATTTGCTTATTACAAGTCTGCTATAGATATTATTAGGGATTCTCATGTATCAAATTTAGACATTTACCTATTGACAGGTGTTCACAAATATTATTGAAAATTTACTTATTGAAAGATGCTGATATATCAAATTTAGACATTTACCTACTGAAATCAACTTCTCCCTGGATATTATATATTTTTTTTACCTATTTACAGGTTCTCAATAGATAATACTTATTTATTGACAGGTTTGCCATTGATATTACTTTGTATTTGATATTGACAAATTATCTTTAGGTGTAGGTTGAAAGTCATTTTAATAAGTTTTCCTTAGATAATATTTACTTATTGACAGGTTCTCTGTAGATATTTTTCAAGATCTACCTTTTGACAAATTTACCTGAGATGACATTAAAATATTTACCTGTTGACAGGTTCCCTGTAGATATTGTTAGAGATGTAGTTTTTTACAGGTCATCCTTATAATTAGGGATTTAAATGCTAATTACATAGAGGAAATATTTGATGTAATGGATTTTTTTTATCAATTGCAAGCTGATGAAAAGGTCACGTATTTGACTACGAACAAAATATAGATAACTGACATGATTTTTACTGAAGATGATACTGTTATATAAACATGTTTGCAATCATATAAGGATATATAGTGTTTGTGATAGTAAATGTGGCGTGGCTTATTTCTTTTGTTGCTATGCTGCTCAATAATAAACGACTAGAGAAGTTTATGTTTGTTATCCTGCCGAGGTCTATGAGCTGTATGTACGTGTACTGATCTATATACGTATCTCATTATAACCTATTGGTTACGTTACAGGTGGGACACGTCTCGTCATATTGCTAACGCGGGCTTGCAGAGATCTGAGTCCATCACCAGCCTTGGAACTCCCTCCCTCATACAATAACCCAAGCTTACGTCATAGTTACCTCCCTTGGACTAGGACTCTCATCAGATTCGATTTGGCCTGGATCAAGATATCACCAATAGTGACTGTCTAGCTGGATCGTTTCTGTGGAGGCTGTCTGTCTGAGGGTCACAGTGGACAAGTCTTTAGTGATATTCAAACCTTATGTGCCAATGTAAAGCTGTTTACTCATTACCGTACAAACTAACCTATACCTAGCTACAGTACCAGGTGTCAGAATATGTCATCTCCGTGTAACAAGTCAGACATTCTGTTTTACTGCCTCTTCATGTGACACAGCTTAAGTTGGTAGTTTTATTGTAATATAGAGATAATTTTGAACTACATTACTTGGTTGAAAATTAACTAGTACGGTTAGCATACCTGAAACTTACATCATAAAAGTGAGGTGGCCCAGTTTGATACTGATTTAGGAGTGCTACCTTTGTTGTAAAGATATCAAATATCAGCCTTCGAATACCTACAATTCTTCTTCTTCTTCTTCCTTTACAAGGATCAGACTCAAAGGTTTGAGTGCACTTGATACCTTGGTAATCAGTGATGATCTATATAATTCCCTGTTTCTCTGGTTTTCTTTTTAACTTATCATAATCATGCAGTCTAGAAGAACACTTAAATTAAGACCTGATTACGGCTGCACACACAATTTGATCTTTTCTCAATTCGAGTTAAAGAGCGATGAATACATATTTTATTTTTTTGTTTTTTACAAAATCTTAATCATTTGATCCTGAAAGAGATGTAATTTCGTACCTTGAACTTTTCTTGATAATCATGTTTATGATTACTTTAAAAAAATGCAGTTGACAACTACTGGTCTATAAAGTATATTATGATTTCTATGATTAGATATAATTATGATTTCTATGATTAGATATAATTGACAACTACTGGTCTATAAAGTATAATTATGATTTCTATGATTAGATATAATTATGATTTCTATGATAAGATATAGTTGACTACTACTGGTCTATGCAGTTACATGTGATTATTAATAGATGTGGTACTTTAGCAGAACACATCTGACTGAATAAAGGAAAGTATTCATCTGTACACCAACAATTCAGCAAAGATATTAATGTCGAAAATATTCAATGTTATTTTAGCATTGATTTCATATGAGTTCAGCATTAATTTCTTTAAATAACATGACAATTTATCATTTGATTTGTGTAACTGTTCATTTTCACCATAAAGTATAGCATTGATTTCATGTTAATGGTTTAAATACCATGATAAGATTTTGGCTTTATATGTTTTTATTTAAAATAACATTATAAAATATTGACTGTGTAATGTATATTAGAAACTGTTAGTTTAATTAGCTGTATCTAATTTACCAGTATTCTGTTCACTGTTGGCTTTTGGTCTCCGTTGATTTGTTTTGTTTCCACACTTTTGCTGTTATTTTCTACATGTGATATTCACATAGATATTTCCTGTTTGTTACACCCTGTCACTTCAGGATATGTTACATATTGTAAGTATTTATTTATTTGTACACTTTGTTGATGATTTTGTTGATTTAATTCCAACATGAAGTTATTGTGAGAGGAACAGCTGCTCTGGTTGTGTGTATAGTAACTTTAGATTTATCTTACCTGTGGAGCACACCTCTGTTTTTCATTGTGAATTTAACAAGGCATTAAATATATTTATGCAAGATTAATATTTTTTTAAATTAAATTGTTAAAATATTTATAGTTTGATGCCAACCTTAATTATGTATACACATACTCGGTGATTACATAGTTACTAGGACATAACTTATTATTTCAAGAAGTGGTAATGTCAACATATATATATGTAGATTATCTCCCTTGGACCATAGGACACATTACGTCCAAAACGCTGGTGGACTGGGTGTCAATTACAGATTCTCTCCTTACCTGTACAAAACATTGAAACAAACTGTATTTTATGTTCGTATCATTCTTATGATAATTGATAACTTTTTTAATATGTCATTTTTTATTCCATATAGAGGCTGATTTATCTGGTTTTAAAAACATTAATTAATTTTACCACTTATTTTATCAAAGTACATATAGTACTTCGAGTATGCAAGGGCCTAATGCCAAACAAACCTAAAAAAATACTAATCACTATCCTATTGGATATTTTGTTATTTACACACAGGAAGTGTGACATTTTTATAACCGGTTTTTATTTGTTTGTGCTGTGGGTGATGATCACAGTGTAGATCTATAAAGCCAGGGGGATATGTCATCATCTGTCGCCCTATAACCTTACACAGTCTCTCATTATCTCATAGCATCATACCTGTTTTTATATGGAGGAGAACAGGAAGCAAAAAACAACTTTAGTCTTTACATTTAATCTGTTGCTAATGTATGACTAAGCCCAGTTGGTGCTGGCCAGGTGTGACGTAGCTCGTTAGAGTCGTTTGTCATCTCTGCCTTACAGGTAAATATCAGTGTCTCCCGCCACCAAGTCAAACCTGTCATGTGCATCAAGCCGTGGATGCTAAATATTTAATTATCCAATTCCTCTTTAGGCCAATTATTTACAAAATGTACAATCGATTTATAACCTACCGAAAAAAAACATCCATTATCGATAAAGAGACTAGTTTTTCAGACAATGTCTAGACATGTTAGAAATGGAATGTGAAATGACAGAATCAAAGTCTATTTTTAGCTAAAATGAAAGTGCTTATCCTTTTGAATTTTACATTATGTTAATAAATTACAAGTGCAGTATAAACTATATGGTAAATATTTATACAGATTTATGAGTAGAGGATCATATTTTCATTTAGCTTTTTAAATAGCGTATAATACACATCCCACTTTTAATTTTGTTTATCAAAAACAAATTGAAACATTGTATGTATTCTGTATGTGTTTGAGCACTTTTTTAAGGGACACTATTCGTCCTGCGATATTACATGTACTGTAAATGTCTGTGTAAGGTTGCAAAAATGTACTGGGAGGATGGGGTCAGGGGGAGGGGAGGGGTGATCTAGAATTGTGTTTTTTCAATTTATCTATTTACATACAGTTTTATGTTAAATATAATACCACAGCTGTATGTGATAGAATCATCTTTCTGAGAATCTGATCTTACACTTGTGTTTTTGATCGCATTGCTTTGTTATACCTGCAAGAAACAGAATCTTATACTTGATAAACTGATATTTGTACTTTGATAGTAGTTTTTCTGTACATACCCAGGTAATTATATGAAAGCAGAGTTTGGGTTCCATAAAAAAAGAAGAACTGTCGGTACATGTGTATGCAATACCAGTTGTTTTATGAGAAACAGAATCTGTGTCTCTATGACTAGACTTATTAAGTAATATCTATATACAATACTACTAATGTTCTCTGAACTCTGTGACTGTATATGATGTATATGATGTGTAGTATAAGCTGTGGCATTACTGCTGTATAATTAGAGGTCTAATATGGGTGAGGTAGAAGAATTCTCCATTGTAACTTGTTAAAAGATCATGAATATTTTATATTGAGCAGAAGGGCAAATATTTTTCATATTTATATTTATTTATATTGAATCTATCAATTTTTTGCTCAGCTGTGTAGTAAAAAATACAAGTTTATTTCACCTGTGTTTGATTCATTTATTCAATTACTTGATGAAAGGGTTAAGTAATGTAGTAAAGGAAGTTTTAAATGCAATCTTTCTAAATATAAGGTAACAGTGCTAACCATGGTTTCAACTTTGTATTGGTAAAGATGGTAAGTAGGTATACTTTGGACAAACTTTATAAACAGAAATCAGGAAAGGTGCATAACTACTATTAGAAAGATTTGATTAGTAAAAATATATGCATAGATGCACAAGTTGTCATTACATCATTTAGCTAAGAGTTTTGTAAAAAGGGTGTATAACTTTCAAAAACTTAAGGCAGTTCTCAAAAAATAAAACGGACTATGACACAGCTTCAGATTGTGATGGCTCCATCAATGTCGTTTTATAAAATTTGATCAAAACTGTAGGAAGAGTTGTCAGGACAAGACTTAGCTGGTACAATTTTAAAAGCGGCATAACTCCCATATAAAGGCGGATCAGAAATTAAAAAGAAAAAAAGGAAAAACCGCTGATGCGCAACTTCACAGTGCATTGGTTTCATCAGTAGTTTATGTATTTCAAAAAATGTGGATGGAAACCATAGGAGGAGTTGTCTGGACAAGATTAGGCTGGTAACTGTGTAAAAGGGACACAATTCCATTTATATAGACTGACTGAAAAAAATATTCAGGGTGCATGTTACTTCATAGAGGTATATTAAGTAAATCATGGGAGTTTAATGAAATGGGATAAAATAACTGTAGTTTTCCAGACAAGATTCCCTTGGACAAACGGACGGACAGTCTTATTCCAGCTTACCTCCCTAACTAAGGATAATAACTAGTACCTGGGTTTGCTCTATCAACTGACATTTTGTTGGATGAGTCTCGTTGTTTTGAATGATTATATACACCACACAAGTTTATACAAGAATATGATCGAGGATTTTTTCTAAGGCTGACATATTTGCTTCAACTGTCAGCTTTTGTCTGCATGATTTGTCAAGCAAGCATATATATATATATATTTACATCTGTGATATTCTTTAGATTTACATTCTTTCGTGATATTATCTATTCTTTCAGACTAAAACCTGATTGTTGATGTGAAAGGGACCACATGTCCATCCTCCTTTGAGGTGTCAGGAGATTTACCTTTTGTGATATGATAATTATATTACACTTCCTGTTTCTACATTATACTTTATTGAACTCTTCCCCCTTGACCTCACAGAACTTCAGCTGTATCAAAAAAACGAGCATGGTTTGTTTCATATCGGGAAATCAATTTTTACATTCACGACAAAAACCCTTTCGATTTTTCTTTATACACAAAGTCTTATTACTGTATAATTGAACTATTAAATCACTGGCAATAATGATCAATTTTGACCGATATTAAATATTAGCTAAGAGTAACAAAGCTGTTGTGTGTCTATACAGAAAAATCACCTCAGCTTATAACAGGTTTTGTATGAAAATGTATTCATGATAACAGAATTGCTGGTGTAGAGCTTGTTTGATCACCACATCAATAACGATATGTGGGATTTATAATAGGTCATTATCTGGAATGGTCACAACAACAGATGTAAACAACATGCAGACAACAATACTAGTACAGTGTACACACAGTAAAACCATGTGTAACCTACTGTCAGAATTATCTACAAATTCATGGTAAAATTTTTTAAAAAAAAATAAAAAAAAAAATAAGGAGAGCATCAAAGGAAATAATAATCTTAATATCTTATCTTCATATTATTGAAATTGGATAGTAAATATTGTACAACATGATTCATGGTGACGGAATGTTACAGTTGGTTTGTTGGCGAGTCCCTGAGAGTTTTTAACAAGACATTAGGTATAAGTGATGCAGTAAATTAACCATCAGATGGATAGTCTGTCGCACAGGTGAGCAGTTCCACCGGTGTGCCAACCAGTCAACTTTACGTCAGGGATTTTAAAATATTGTTTAATAATGATATTGTGTATAAAATGTTCATACATTTCAATAGAAATGTTTGTCTCGTAGTTAGTAGTGTGACAAACTGTGCTCTACCAAAAGTTGATTTAATTAATTAATGGACTAAGTTCCTGTCTATGTTCTATACCGTTTGTAATGCTGACTTGATGCTGGCCAAGATCAAGCTGACCGTGCCCTGTCGAATGTTGCCGTCTGTGTGTAGTGTTGATACATTAACTAGACTCCCAGTTTTAAGTACCTTTTTATGACTGATTAGAAATCAATGAAAATTCAATATCGGAAAGTTGCAATTTTTCTTTTGAAGTGCTTCACAATTTAGCCACCTTCATCAAAGGCTACTATTGGACATGAGTTTTTTAGGTCACCTGAGACAAAGTCTCAAGTGACCTATTGCGATCGCCTTTTGTCCGTCGTCGTCGTCCGTCGTGCGTCCGTAAACAATTTACATTTTCGACTTCTTCTCCAAAACCCCTGAACCAATTTCAATGAAATTTTGCAGGGACCTTCCATGGACAAAGGTCAACCAAAATAGTTGCCGGTTTAGTCCTACGCCCCCAGGGGCCTGAGGGGCGGGGCCAAAAGGGGTCAAATTGACTAAAATTTCAAAAATCTTCTTCTCCATAACCCCTGAACCAATTGAAATGAAATTTTGCAGGGACCTTCCATGGACAAAGGCCAACAAAAATAGTTGCCGGTTTAGTCCTACGCCCCCAGGGGCCTGAGGGGCGGGGCCAAAAGGGGTCAAATTGACTAAAATTTCAAAAATCTTCTTCTCAAGACCCAGATATGGTAGAATCAAATACTCTTCATAGATGGAAGGGCCTTAAGGTGCTATACTGAAATTGTGAATTTCTTGACCCTGGGGTCTCACCTTTACCCCTGGGGAGGGGGTAAA